AATCTGAACACAGGCGCGGAGTGAGTGTCCCTGATAGAATGTTGAATCTGAACACAGGCGTGAGTGAGTGTCCCTGATAGAATGTTGAATCTGAACACAGGTGTTTGTGAGTGTCTCTGATAGAATGTTGAATCTGAACACAGGCGTGAGTGAGTGTCCCTGATAGAATGTTGAATCTGAACACAGGTGTGCGTGAGTGTCCCTGATAGAATGTTGAATCTGCACACAGGTGTGTGTGGAGTTGGGTGTGTGAGTGGCCCGGATAGAATGTTGAATCTGAACACAGGTGTGTGTGAGTGTCTCTGATTGAATGTTGAATCTGAACACAGGCGTGAGTGAGTGTCTCTGATTGAATGTTGAATCTGAACACAGGCGTGAGTGAGTGTCCCTGATAGAGTGTTGAATCTGAACACAGGCGTGAGTGAGTGTCCCTGATAGAGCGTTGAATCTGAACACAGGCATGAGTGAGTGTCCCTGATAGAATGTTGAATCTGAACACAGGCATGAGTGAGTGTCCCTGATAGAATGTTGAATCTTAACACAGGCGTGAGTGAGTGTCCCTGATAGAATGTTGAATCTGAACACAGGCAGTGAGTGAGTGTCCCTGATAGAATGTTGAATCTGAACACAGGCGTGAGTGAGTGTCCCTGATAGAATGTTGAATCTGAACACAGGCGTGAGTGAGTGTCCCTGATAGAGTGTTGAATCTGAACACAGGCATGAGTGAGTGTCCCTGATAGAATGTTGAATCTGAACACAGGCGTGAGTGAGTGTCTCTGATTGAATGTTGAATCTGAACACAGGCGTGAGTGAGAGTCCCTGATAGAATGTTGAATCTGAACACAGGCGTGAGTGAGTGTCCCTGATAGAGTGTTGAATCTAAACACAGGCATGAGTGAGTGTCCCTGATAGAATGTTGAATCTGAACACAGGGGTGAGTGAGTGTCTCTGATAGAATGTTGAATCTGAACACAGGTGTGCGTGAGTGTCCCTGATAGAATGTTGAATCTGAACACAGGCGTGAGTGAGTGTCCCTGATAGAATGTTGAATCTGAACACAGGCGTGAGTGAGTGTCCCTGATAGAATGTTGAATCTGAACACAGGCATGAGTGAGTGTCCCTGATAGAATGTTGAATCTGAACACAGGCGTGAGTGAGTGTCCCTGATAGAATGTTGAATCTGAACACAGGCGTGAGTGAGTGTCCCTGATAGAATGTTGAATCTGAACACAGGCGTGAGTGAGTGTCCCTGATAGAATGTTGAATCTGAACACAGGTGTTTGTGAGTGTCTCTGATAGAATGTTGAATCTGAACACAGGCGTGAGTGAGTGTCCCTGATAGAATGTTGAATCTGAACACAGGTGTGCGTGAGTGTCCCTGATAGAATGTTGAATCTGCACACAGGTGTGTGTGAGTGGCCCGGATAGAATGTTGAATCTGAACACAGGTGTGTGTGAGTGGCCCTGATTGAATGTTGAATCTGAACACAGGTGTGCGTGAGTGTCCCTGATAGAATGTTGAATCTGCACACAGGTGTGTGTGACTGTCCCTGATAGAATGTTGAATCTGCACACTGGTGTGCGTGAGTGTCCCTGATAGAATGTTGAATCTGCACACAGGTGTGTGTGAGTGGCCCGGATAGAATGTTGAATCTGAACACAGGTGTGTGTGAGTGGCCCTGATTGAATGTTGAATCTGCACACAGGTGTGCGTGAGTGTCCCTGATAGAATGTTGAATCTGCACACAGGTGTGTGTGACTGTCCCTGATAGAATGTTGAATCTGCACACTGGTGTTTGTGACTGTCCCTGATAGACTTATGATTTTGAACCAAGATAAATGTGAATGTCCCTGATAGAATGTTGAACTTAAACATAGGCATGCACTAGTGTCAGTGATAGAATGTTGAACTTAAACATAGGCATGCACTAGTGTCAGTGATAGAATGTTGAACTTAAACATAGGCATGCACTAGTGTCAGTGATAGAATGTTGAACTTAAACAAAGGCATGCACTAGTGTCAGTGATAGGATGTTGAACTTAAACACAGGCATGCACTAGTGTCAGTGATAGGATGTTGAACTTAAACATAGGCATGCACTAGTGTCAGTGATAGAATGTTGAACTTAAACATAGGCATGCACTAGTGTCCCTGATAGAATGTTGAATCTGAACACAGGCGTGAGTGAGTGTCCCTGATAGAGTGTTGAATCTGAACACAGGCATGAGTGAGTGTCCCTGATAGAATGTTGAATCTGAACACAGGCGTGAGTGAGTGTCTCTGATTGAATGTTGAATCTGAACACAGGCGTGAGTGAGTGTCCCTGATAGAATGTTGAATCTGAACACAGGCGTGAGTGAGTGTCCCTGATAGAGTGTTGAATCTGAACACAGGCGTGAGTGAGTGTCCCTGATAGAATGTTGAATCTGAACACAGGCGTGAGTGAGTGTCTCTGATAGAATGTTGAATCTGAACACAGGTGTTTGTGAGTGTCCCTGATAGAATGTTGAATCTGAACACAGGCGTGAGTGAGTGTCCCTGATAGAATGTTGAATCTGAACACAGGCGTGAGTGAGTGTCCCTGATAGAATGTTGAATCTGAACACAGGCATGAGTGAGTGTCCCTGATAGAATGTTGAATCTGAACACAGGCGTGAGTGAGTGTCCCTGATAGAATGTTGAATCTGAACACAGGCGTGAGTGAGTGTCCCTGATAGAATGTTGAAACTGAACACAGGCGTGAGTGAGTGTCCCTGATAGAATGTTGAATCTGAACACAGGTGTTTGTGAGTGTCCCTGATAGAATGTTGAATCTGAACACAGGCGTGAGTGAGTGTCCCTGATAGAATGTTGAATCTGAACACAGGTGTGCGTGAGTGTCCCTGATGGAATGTTGAATCTGCACACAGGTGTGTGTGAGTGGCCCGGATAGAATGTTGAATCTGAACACAGGTGTGTGTGAGTGGCCCTGATTGAATGTTGAATCTGAACACAGGTGTGTGTGAGTGTCCCTGATAGAATGTTGAATCTGCACACAGGTGTGTGTGACTGTCCCTGATAGAATGTTGAATCTGCACACTGGTGTTTGTGACTGTCCCTGATAGACTTATGATTTTGAACCAAGATAAATGTGAATGTCCCTGATAGAATGTTGAACTTAAACATAGGCATGCACTAGTGTCAGTGATAGAATGTTGAACTTAAACATAGGCATGCACTAGTGTCAGTGATAGAATGTTGAACTTAAACATAGGCATGCACTAGTGTCAGTGATAGAATGTTGAACTTAAACAAAGGCATGCACTAGTGTCAGTGATAGGATGTTGAACTTAAACACAGGCATGCACTAGTGTCAGTGATAGGATGTTGAACTTAAACATAGGCATGCACTAGTGTCAGTGATAGAATGTTGAACTTAAACATAGGCATGCACTAGTGTCCCTGATAGAATGTTGAATCTGAACACAGGCGTGAGTGAGTGTCCCTGATAGAGTGTTGAATCTGAACACAGGCATGAGTGAGTGTCCCTGATAGAATGTTGAATCTGAACACAGGCGTGAGTGAGTGTCTCTGATTGAATGTTGAATCTGAACACAGGCGTGAGTGAGTGTCCCTGATAGAATGTTGAATCTGAACACAGGCGTGAGTGAGTGTCCCTGATAGAGTGTTGAATCTGAACACAGGCGTGAGTGAGTGTCCCTGATAGAATGTTGAATCTGAACACAGGCGTGAGTGAGTGTCTCTGATAGAATGTTGAATCTGAACACAGGTGTTTGTGAGTGTCCCTGATAGAATGTTGAATCTGAACACAGGCGTGAGTGAGTGTCCCTGATAGAATGTTGAATCTGAACACGAAGTGAGTGAGTGTCCCTGATAGAATGTTGAATCTGAACACAGGCATGAGTGAGTGTCCCTGATAGAATGTTGAATCTGAACACAGGTGAGTGAGTGTCCCTGATAGAATGTTGAATCTGAACACAGGCAGTGAGTGAGTGTCCCTGATAGAATGTTGAAACTGAACACAGGCGTGAGTGAGTGTCCCTGATAGAATGTTGAATCTGAACACAGGTGTTTGTGAGTGTCCCTGATAGAATGTTGAATCTGAACACAGGCGTGAGTGAGTGTCCCTGATAGAATGTTGAATCTGAACACAGGTGTGCGTGAGTGTCCCTGATGGAATGTTGAATCTGCACACAGGTGTGTGTGAGTGGCCCGGATAGAATGTTGAATCTGAACACAGGTGTGTGTGAGTGGCCCTGATTGAATGTTGAATCTGAACACAGGTGTGCGTGAGTGTCCCTGATAGAATGTTGAATCTGCACACAGGTGTGTGTGACTGTCCCTGATAGAATGTTGAATCTGCACACTGGTGTGCGTGAGTGTCCCTGATAGAATGTTGAATCTGCACACAGGTGTGTGTGAGTGGCCCGGATAGAATGTTGAATCTGAACACAGGTGTGTGTGAGTGGCCCTGATTGAATGTTGAATCTGCACACAGGTGTGCGTGAGTGTCCCTGATAGAATGTTGAATCTGCACACAGGTGTGTGTGACTGTCCCTGATAGAATGTTGAATCTGCACACTGGTGTTTGTGACTGTCCCTGATAGACTTATGATTTTGAACCAAGATAAATGTGAATGTCCCTGATAGAATGTTGAACTTAAACATAGGCATGCACTAGTGTCAGTGATAGAATGTTGAACTTAAACATAGGCATGCACTAGTGTCAGTGATAGAATGTTGAACTTAAACATAGGCATGCACTAGTGTCAGTGATAGAATGTTGAACTTAAACAAAGGCATGCACTAGTGTCAGTGATAGGATGTTGAACTTAAACATAGGCATGCACTAGTGTCAGTGATAGAATGTTGAACTTAAACATAGGCATGCACTAGTGTCAGTGATAGAATGTTGGAACTAACATGGGGCTTTGTTAGCATTTTTTTATAAAATGTTGCGCACTGGATTACATAAACCTTATACCTTTCTGTCCTTCAGTGAGTGTTCTGGATGTCTTGTTGCAAGCAACTCCTAAACAGGAGCAGAAAGCAAGAGAGTTCTTCACCCTCACTCCCATCAAAGTTCTACTTGATTGGCTTCACCTCAATCCTCATGCATTCCGGAAACCACAGCTGACTGAATCAAGGTGGTAACATGTTTTATTCTGGCTGCATATAATGTTTGCAGTGATTACTCAGAAGGAGCTTTTAGAAGATTCAATATATTTTACAATAAATACCTAAAGATTGAATATATAGTTATACCGTGGCATCCTCTCAATGCTGCTGTTGAACCCATTTGCCAGATGAGCTGAACAATGACATCCCCAAATAAAACTAGTTGGATTTGCGTTTCATTTGAATTATGTATGGAATGCATGAATGCTCAGCTTTCTAAATATGTCAGCTTTTTTTGTAGTATATGTACCTCAAAAAGAAAAGCCAGCAATTTAAAATTTATTGGTCAAATTTCTCGGCACACAGCCACAAACAATGGCCATTGCTGACTTCAGGCACTTCAGGCCAAGTGATACTCAGTGTGATATTTTCTTCATAATGTAACCATTTTTATTTCCCCGGCCTATAATGCTCAAACAAAACGTTCAATATCTTTCCACAGAACTTGGCAGATATATCAAACCTTGAAATGGTTCGTTTTGCTATTTGCAGATTTTTGGCTTTCATGTTTTTCATGATTTCCATGGAAACAATTTTGACTTAGTCTCAAAGTGGAAGGGGGTAGATTTCATTTCTGGAGCACTGCTCATAATCCATGAGACTCTTTTCATCCAAACCGGTTACATGTATTAACCAAGGGCTGATGTGGTGCATTTTGTTATTGAAGAATTTTTTTGAAAATGAATTTGTTTCCGAGTTCCACAGCTACATGTCTAACTTTGACTCATAGTGGTGTGTTTGTCCAGACCATATCTCTAAAACTAATAAGTATTCTTTCATGAACATTGTATCATGGAAAGTGTTTAGATGTTGTTATCCATTAAAAACAGAGGATATTTCTTTTATCAGATCAGGAAAGAATCGTGTATAAAAGAATACTTAAGTATACAATGATCATATGACCTTGAAGAACTTCAATTTGGCATGTTACGTGGTTTGCCACCACCCTGAGTGTTATTTTAATGGATTAGGGGCTACTGCTCAGTGAATCGCTTGCAACAACAACATCTATGCATCTTTGCTCATTTTGCAAAATGTTTTTGAATTTGAACAAATTTGGATGTGATGGCCACATTTTACTCATCTTGCTGTGCCAGCCTTCAACATGGCTGTTTGCTCTGGCACCATTGGTATTGAGTGGTTCCAAGTGGCTCGACCATCATTCTCCACCCATTGCTCCGTCATGTAGTTGTTGAGCACTGCTGGATCACCGAGATCTGCTTCGTCCAGAGCATTCAGCCACACCTCATCTGTATCACACACTTGTACAAGAGGCAAAGCTTAATACACCAGGCTACGACCACCACGACTGTTAAATACAAACTGAATGTTCACGAGTGTGTTTGCCATTTTGCAATGATTGCATTTGGAGCCCCAAGAATACGGAGCAAGCACAGGGAGGTAATAAAATCATCGGCTCGAGTCATACATGCATCCAGGGTATAGTGGAGAATTATCGGAACGTATGCCCTGGGGATTAATGAGGATGTCACTGATTATATTACAGTAAATTGAATTGAAGCTTTAAAAAAGGAAACAAGCCAAAAAAGTTTAATTTCATGCAATTTTTATATGCATATTATATCTGCTGTTACCTAATTATCTAGACACTTTGATTTCACATTGCTACATTTCATGGCATTTAATTTTGTATATCGACAGTTATCCAGCCTCATGTCAGAATGTCGAGTTTTGATTGGTTCACGTGAGTCTGATAAAATACCATGTACATCCGTCACGATCTGCGAGCAGGGAGTTCAAAAGTCATATTATCCCGTCACGCCTCGGTGACCACGCGAAGTGAGGAAAGCGTGCATCGCCAAGCCTTTAGTAACGTGTGCTGCATTGAGGTCAATTGATCAGCTGTTGTCAACATGGCAGCAAGGAAACATTTTGCCACAACAACTGAGAATGAAATTGAAGCAAAACATTCGGCTAGATAAATGCGTTATCACATTGTGTCTCGGGAAATATGGGGTTTTATCTGTCCCGAGTAAGGTTGTATTCCCCGAGCCAAAGGGAGGGGAATACAACCTTACTCGGGACTGATAAAACCCCTTATAATATTACCGTATCTAGTGTACACTTTAATTTCACATTGCCACCACATTTCTTGGCAATGAATAAAACAAGAGTGTATTGTGCACTGATTTATCATGGCTGACTGCATTTGCAACCAGAACAATAGGGTGGTGGCAACATGAGACGGCTCAATGTTATATTTCATGAATCATAGTTATGTAGTTATTGCTGTGCAATAGACATATTGTTATGGACAAATATGATGTATTGTGAGTAAAAGATAGAAGTTCTCAAAGCAGTGATAGTGTTACAGCTGTCTTGAGTGAAACACCATCAAAGTCAACAGTAAAGATGATTAGGTTATGTTGTCAGTGAGAAACAATATTCTGACAGTTCATTCTGTGGTTCACAGAAATACATTTGATGAATAACAGACACTGATTATAAAACATTTATCTTCTGAAAAAATATGAATTATTAATGAACCTGTATGTGTCTATATGTATAAATAAGTTACATGTGTAATCTATATATTTTTGCAGTTTGTGGATGGGACTGGCAAAGCTTCTGAACAGCATCCAGTCAGTTGGAGACAAGGAGAACCCAACTGATATGTCAAAATGTAATCATTTTTAATGATTGTCTTAATGTTTACAATCATGATAAAGTAAGACAAATAACATTTATGACGGATGTCAAACTGGTTGACCAAGATAGTGAAAACTGTCTCACAGACTGTTACATGAAAATGACAGTGTTACAAAACCGTGGTTAAAGTGCCTCTCAAATTGGAGAGCTACACATATGGAACCTGCATGCCTGCCACCCATGTGTTATCCCATGATTGTCGGACCTTCACATTTCTGCAATTTCTGTACACTTCCGTCTTTGTCATGATTGTAAACTGCTCATTACAGACTGTGAAAGCTGGTGGCTCAATGTACTCTCTTGTTCCACCAACTGCACTTGGCCATTATTGAGCATGTAAAAAAATATGTTCAGCTGAGTTTAAAACAATATCAGAGCAACTTTCAGCCTGTTTTTCATCACTGGTCTGTATGGTTTGGTACATGAGAATGTTAAAGCGTGTGTCTTTTGACCATCAGTTGGAGGACATGCCTGTGTAGATGTGGCACAAACTTGGACAATGCTCCTGGATGTGGTGGTGCTTGATGATTTGGTGTTTGTGGGGATTAATTGCCAATGATAGCTGGAGTGCTCTGTTGTTTTATCAGGTTATTGTTTGCAAATGGGATAAGATATCCTTGGCTGATAGAGGGCTTGTGCCAGTGGTTTTTTTACAACATTTTTGCTTTGTCTCACTTGATGTAGCAGTTGGGGCAGTTGATGATGTAGTCTGAAATGGCTGATTTTCAATTTAATTTGGTGTTAAATGTTAGGTGTTCTTTGATTCTGATGTTTACGGAATGAGAAGTTTCAACTGTTTAGGCATCGACATAGTCACAATTGATTTTGTAGGCAACCCCATTGGGTTCTTGTTGCTTGGTAGTCTTCAGTCGGGTCTTATTTTGAGTAGTGTGTTTCAAGATCTCTGATGTTGTGGGAGGTCTTTCCTATGAAGGGGAGAGAGATACAGACTTGGGCTGGTTCGCTTTGTTGCTGGCCGGAATGCTATTTGATGGAATGGTGGAAGTGTTGATTTTGTCGACTACCTTGGGTAGGTAGTGGTTGAACAGGGTAAAAACATGGTGCTGACATGGGTTTTGAGGTCGGTAATGAGGTGGCGGAGGATCTGTCCTGTTTTAGTGATTTTATGTGTACAGAAATCAGCGGAGTCAGAGATGAAGGAGTTGGTTGATTTGCCAAGTTGAGAAAACATTATATTATTATTATTAACACAATGTCTCTGGAATGCAGAGGAAGCCTAGCCTCGGGTCGGGGATTATTTCTTTGGCTCTGGCTAGGTGGTTGTAGGATGGGTGTTGTTAGACATTTGTAAGTTTTTATGAATATGGATAAGTGCTGGCTAGTTAAGATGTTACCTGATTAGTTTCAAATCAAAATGGTTCATGATACATGTGTTCTAGTGAGACGATTTTGAGGCAGAGGTGGAGGGGTCTGCTCACTGTTCTCATGGTCAGCAATTTTTTTCCATAAAATCATTTTGTTTTGACAGTTTTTCATAAAATCATTTTATTATGAAAGCATTACATAGAATGTATGGAGCAAATGTATCAAGATGATGACAGTGTGTTTGGGTTTTCCTTCAGTTGACGATATCCCTTTACCTGAAGACTGTGATCTGCGCTGCTTTCAGCCAATAGAGAAAGCCCACAGGTATGACATCATTAGTGATTTGCCCCCACTGACAGAGTTCCTTTCCTTGTTGCAGACCGTAGCGGTATGTCTTTTTGGGTGTTATAAAGCAGAAACCTCATATATTGGTTTCATATGAAGTTTACTTAGATAGCATGAGCATATTATTATTGATTGTGTTGATTATTACATTGAAATACAACACATCATATTGGAGTGATATATGAAGTTTTCTAAAAGGTGGCATTGTGCTCTTAATGTATTTATAGGGAGAGACCCTTTATTTTATTGCGAAGTTGTACAGTTAGAACAAGACATTGAAGTGTAAGTTTTCCTGTCATGGACAGTTCAGGACACTTGTAGTATTGATCGTTGAACTTGTTAGACACTAAAACATGTGATTGGATGAAATTGGGAGTCAGGGTCATTAAAAAACATGTACATTTATCTCTACAACTTTGTGGTTTTACATGGCCAAGTCATATGTTCAAAAGAACAAATATGAATGTTTACAAAATATACACATTTTGTTTCGGCTCCCAATACATACTGGGCAGCTTGTATATTTAGATTGATGTTACCACTACTTCTTTCAGTTTCTCCTTTGTCTTTCCAAGGATCCCCTATTTTATATGTTTCCAATGTCAATGTCAGGAAGAGTGTACAAACTAAACATTTTCAAGCATCTCTTGTTCTATGTGAGTGACCACACAAAACCGCATACTTATCATACTGTAGAAATACATATTGCATCTTGCATGTGAATAATTTATACACACTAATCCATTTATGTGTTACATTTGTGCGTTACATTAATGCAAATTTCACACATGTGAAAAATAACATATTTTTAATGTAATTTTTTCTCTTCGCAGTTCCTCTGTGAACAAATAGGAATGAATTAAATAAATTAGTATAACTTTACACAGTCTGCATGATAAGACTTTGACTATGATAAGAACGATGTTATATGTACCTTTTGTATGCTTTTGCAATTTCCAAGATACAGTTTAAGTGTATATTTTTACCAAATCAGCAAGCCTGATGACCTGATCCCATTATTTGTCACTGTGACAAGTATTCATGCAATTAAAATGTAGATTTGAGGTACAGATAAAATTTGTGTTTGGTATAAAAATAACAATCTGCTAAAATTGGATTGATTGATTGTTAAACTAAATTTGAGATGTGTTGGCAAGGGCAGGTGTTGACCTCCGAAACCTTTTCCATTAGAAGAGGCATATTTCAGGCTGATTCTTTCACTTCTTTGCTTTTCTGTCTGTCACTAAATCAGTTCAGATTTTGGCTTAACCAAGAGGAGGGTCATCATCCTGGACCACCTCAGCACAGATCCCCAACACTTACTCATCCTTTATAGGGATGCCACGATGCATCGATACTCTTTCTAAGACGATACTATTATCGATACATTCAAAACTGTATTGATATTCAGTTTTGAAAGTATCGGTTTAGATATGTTTATGTATCGTTTACATTTTGCAATTGTATCATGTCTTTTGATGTTGTGAGAGTTATAAGTGATTATTTTTTATGCACAAAGATGGGAAATTAGAACTATTTAATCCATGAGAATACAAAATGTTGATCTTTTCATGGACAGTTATAAAATATGAAATATTTTTTTTCAAAATGTAACTAAACTGAGAGAAAAATACAAATGTAGAAGAAAATATGGAGTTCAGAGCTGGATTCTCATATCAGAATCAAAGCCACAAATACTTATGCTGTACCTCTGATATCCTTTTGGTGTTGTTGATTGGATGAAACAAACTTGGTGTTGTTGATTGGATGAAACAAACAGTTTACAGTATTGACACCCTCACATGAAGAATCATGTCAGACCCACCACTCTTCCCCCAATCGTTTATCAGATGTAATGGGACCGCAGGGACTGTACAGAAACGAGCGTCAACCAAGTGAAGCATTATGTCAGATCAGAACACACTCATTTTTTCAAAGCATGGCCCTCTGAGCAACTGATGTACCGACTTTACATGCAGTGTGTTGGGTCCCTTGCTTGGATGAAGTTGGCTGGCTGGAAAACTGGAACAGAAGACTTTCTGTTTGCTGCACAGGACCAATCATTTCCCACTCACAACCGTCAGTGTGTGATTTTATATTGCTATGAAAAGTATCTATGAAGTGTACTCTACCTTGAAAATTTGACTTGAAAATCTAGACTTGCTTCACATTTTCTACGGAGATTGTTGCTAATTCTTATCATGGCTGAAGGTGAAGAAAATGTCGCAGAGGTGGTCTATATGCCTTCTGCAATTCCTCTACCGCCAAAATTGGATCTGAAAGGGACTTTAGCCTCAAACTGGAAAAGATTCAAACGTGGATGGGACAATTATGAAATTACTCAGAAATTGTTTTAGAAGGAATGAGATTTAGAACGGCAACATTTCTTACAGCTGTTGGATCTGATGCTGTGGAAGTCTTTGATGGGTTTCAATTTGCAAATTAAGATGATAAGTCTAACATAAACATTGTTTTGGAAATATTTGAGAGATTTTATGTTGGTTCGACAAGTGAAACATATGACGTTACATTTGCAATAAACGTGAACAGGAAAGCGGTGAATCTATTGACACTTATGTAGCAGCTCTGCGATCTCTTGCCAAATCCTGCAATTACAGCACACTAACAGATTCATTGATCAAGGACAGAATTGATGTAGGAGTTCTTGACAATAGCACAAGAAAGAAACTTACATACTGCAGACTTGACACTAGAGAAGTGTATCAATGTGTGTAGAGCATGTGAAACAACAGATCATCAACTCAAATCTATGAGAACTGATCAGGTGTCCTTTATAAGTGGAAACAGAAATGGAAAGAAAAGTGGTCAAAGCAAAAGTGGAAGATCAGAGAGGGAACAAACTAAACCAAAATATGTGTCCTACATTGAAGAGTGCAGATTCTTTGGCAGATCTCATGCAAGAGATAGAGACCAGTGTCCAGCATTTGGAAAGAAATGTACATATTGTCATGGCATGAACCATTTTAATATCAAAGGAAAGGAAACAGGCGACAGCGAGGCAGTGCTGTTGAAGATCTCTCCGCCTTTGAATCAGAGAGTGAGTTAGGAGACTATGCCTTGAGTCTTGAAGAATCTATCCTGTCTGTGAATGATAACCCTCCTAGGAAACTGTTTGCTCACATGAAAGTCAACAAACAGAAAGTGAAGTTTCAACTTGATTGTGGTGCAACCGTGAATGCTATGCCAGTCTCTTTGTTCAGGACAATATTCCATGGAAAGGGAGAGAGGTTTGATCCTTACAACACTCCACTGATACTCTAGAACAATACAAAAATGAACACTACTGGAAAAACCAGATTTCTGTAGTGAATCCAAGGAATTGTGAAACCCACATACTTGAATTCATCATTGTTCAGGATGAAGTAAGACCTGTTCTTGGCACACAGGCAGTCCAAGAGATGAACCTGATTACAGTCAACTTCGACAACATTATGTCGATTTCCAAAGACAATGTAATCGAAGAGTTTTCTGATGTCTTCAATGTGGAAGGAAAGTAAGAAGGGACCCTCAAACTTGAGATAGATCCAAAAGTCTCTGAAGACTCCTTTGAGGAAAACTCCAATAGCTATTAAGCCAAGGCTGAACTGAATGGATTAGAAATTGATATGTACCAACTGAGTGGATTTCGTCAATGGTAGTGGTCATGAAAAGTGATGGACGTCTACGTGTCTGTTTAGATCCACAACCTCTCAACAAAGCTTTAAAGAGAAATGATTACTCAATGTCAACAATTGATGATGTCTTGCCTGAACTGTCAAATGCAAAACAGTTTTCAGTGATTGATGTCAAAAACGGATTTTGGCATGTGTGCTTGGATGAAAACAGCAGTTATCTAACCACATTTGATACCCCATGGGTAAAATTTCGGTGGAAAAGAATGCCCTTAGGTATCTCACCTGCCCCAGAGGAATTCCAGAGACGACTCGATGATGCGTTGGAAGGTCTTCATGGAGCTAATGCTATTCATGATGACATCATCATATATGGATCAGGCAGCAACATGGATGAAGCAACACAAGATCATGATGCAAATCTCAAAGCTCTCCTCCAAAGATGTCGGATGAAAGGCATCAAACTGAATTTCCAGAAACTGAAATTGAGACATACTGAAGTTACCAATTTAGGTCATGTAATATCATCAGAAGGTCTTAAAGTTGATCCTTCCAAAGACTTGAAAATGCCACATCCAACTGATAAACAAGGGATACAAAATCTGTTGGGACATACCAATTTTGTGCAGAGGTTTGCTCCACAGCTGTCAGAAGCAACTGCACCTTTCAGAAATTTGCTCAAATCAGGTGTTGTATTTTGCTGGAATGATGATATTCACACCAAAGCCTTTGACCAAGTGAAGAAGATCTTGTCTGCTAAACCAGTTCTAAAGTATTTCAATCCAGAGGCTGAAACCGTGTTGCAATGTGATGCATCGGAAAAAGGTTTAGGGGCTTGCCTTGTGCAGAATGATCATCCAATCATGTATGCATCGTGAGCACTCACTGAGACTGAAACAAATTTTGCTGAGATAGAGAAGGAGCTACTCACCATTGTGTTTGGCATGGAGAAGTTTGACAGATATGTCTATGGGTGACATGTGAAGATAGAATTTGATCACAAGCCTCCAGAGACTATCTTGAAGATGAGTCTCCACAATGCTCCGAAGCGCTTGCAGAGGATGATGCTACGCTTACAAAGTTATGAATTTGAAGTGGTTTACAAGAAGGGTTCTTTGATGGTCATGGCTGATACCCTCAGTCGTGCCTTTCTACCACAAATGTCAAACCAGCGGAATCAAGATGCTCACAGTATCATGATGGTAAACAGTCGATCTCCAGCTGAAATAGATGTCGAATCAATTGATATGGTAAGCTATGTTCCAATATCATCACAAACATTCTCTCAAATATCCAAAGCCTCATCTGAAGATAGAGAAATCCAAGCAGTAGCTGCAGTCATCAAAGATAGATGGCCAGACAATAGATGAACGTGTGGTAGTGCCTAAAGCTGACGACACAACATCATGGTCAAACTACACTCTAGTCACTGTGGAATTCAGAATTCTCTTAGAAGAGCAAGAGAAGCTGTGTTTTGGCCCAATATCAATAGAGATGTGAAGGAATTCATAAACAAGTGTGAAATCTGTGCCTGTTACAACAATGAGCAACAGAAAGAACCATTGAAAAGTCACAGTCTGACAAGCCGTCCTTGGGAGAAAGTAGGAGTCGCTTTTTCGACTTTGAGGGGAAAGACTCTCATAACAACCGACTATTACTCAGACTTCTTCGAAGTAGATAGACTACATGATAAGACATCAAAAACGGTCATCAGGAAGCTGAAGCAGCAGTTTGCCAGACATGGTATTCTGGTTCAGGTCATGTCAGACAACGGACCACCATTTGGCTCCAAAGCTTTTGCAACATTTGCCAGAACAGTCAACAAACAGTAGCACACAGAGCTGTCCAACCCAGACACTAAGTGGCAGACAGAACTAGCCACCCAAGTATCTTAAGAACTATGTGACTAGCTAAATCAGCAGTATTGTACTAGACAAGTCACATTGTCGGAACTGATAAAAAAATGTCCAGGTTGTGTCAAAATACTTAATTATAAATTTGAAACCTTTTGGTTTCAGAAATAATAAATTCAGGACTATTAACAAAACATATTTGACATTGTTTCTCCAGTGGCTTTATCTCTGTAAACTGCAATCATCTTTAGTATACTTTAAGATGCTTCATTTGTACATCTTGAAGAGGGGAGATGTACTGATATGCACATCTGCGAGAGTTATCTCCTTCGCATTGTAAAGAGTGGTTCAATGAGTAAAACAACATGTCCGACCTGTACCCATGACGTCTCTGTGTTTATTCCAATCTCAAGATACATAGAACGTTACAGTAAATATGAAATGTTGATTATGTAATGAATTTAATGAGACTGTTGGATGCCCAGTGTTGGCACAGACACAAAATCTAAGGTGACATGAAGGCGTTGCTTGGTCCTATTATTACCATCTTCCCCATGCTTGTGGTTTACACTCTGAGGTTCATCCATGATACAACTCAGAAGTACCAGGTTGTCCGACTCCCCATTGTTCTTAATGCCGTTGGTGTGGTACCTCTTGATCTCTTTGAAAAATCAGACGTGTGTTTGGTTTCTCGACCAGGAGCACAGCTCTTCTGACAAACTGGGTAATGAAGAAGCCGGTGGTGATGGGAATTCTCCATATTCTCCAAAAGGTTCTTGTTGGGTTTGACTAGGTAACGTTTCCTGGAAAGTTCTATTAACTGTCTTGGCTGTGTGTAGATGTGGCAAGGGTACCTGTTGATTTGCATTTTATTCTGTAAAACATAATAATATATGGTGCTGAATTCCATGTTGCATGGGCATGTGAGCATATACAAATTAGAAGTTAAACAAGTATCAGTAATTAAGGAGCAGATTAGTCTTTAGGCCAGATTTAAAGGGAGTCAAGGAAGGAGTGCATATGAGGTGAAGGGGAAGAGAGATCCACTGCACAGCAGCAGTGTGTGGGAATGATCTGGCACCGAATGTGTTCAACTTGTAGAGAGGTATATGCTGAGAGCTTAAAAATATAGAGAGGAGATCTTGTCACTGATTGGTAGGGTAGACATAAGACCTTTTTCGTCTTTGACTTGGTACTAGCAAAACATAATTTAATGCTGAGACATGCCTCTTCTCGACCTTTCATCAGTTGGGAATCATCTGCAGAGAAGTTATGGCCAATCGCAAGATCAGTGACTGAGCTTCCCAAAAGCTTAGTGTATTGTGTCAAGAGTAGAAGCCCTAGTACAGAGCCGTGAGGGACACCACATGAGTTGAGTTGGGGTTTACGTCACATCGGCATTTTTCCAGCCATATAGTGACGAGATCAAGCCAGAATTAATACACATTTTGAGTACAAAGTCAAAATAGTTTTATTTTAAGAATATATCTAATTCATTACATTGTTATTCAACAACAGAAAATGTCATAGCACTAAATTCAAAAGCACGTAATTCGTTATTCACATTACATAGTTACAATTTATGATACAGATCAGCTTCTCTTAGGTAGTTAACAATGAGATGCCCGCTCACGCGAGAAAACAGATCTTTCAAATTTATCGCATCATAATGTGAATCCCTTGCAGTCGAAAAGTCCACACAGTCATGCAGTATATGCTTGATGGTGAACACTTCATGAAAGCAGTGCACTCTTAGAGACTGTGTTTCTGATGACTACTGACTGAGATCTGTCACAAAATAGGAGATACACCACTTAAGTACTGTGCCATCAATGCCATAGTTTTCATTAACAACAGTACAATGTATCAGCAAATGCATTGTTCATGTTAGCATGTATACATGTATTTCTTATGTTTCACCGTGGTTGTGGACATTTCTTTGTGAAGACGGAGAGATAACATATGAACAAACAAATCACATGGAGAACTTCATGACATCAAAACAATGGACAATATTTGAAGTGCCAATAGACATGAAAGTCTTCAACTTGTCACTGTAAGAGTTGAAGGAAAACCAAGTTCTATGGATAGTCAACTTCTTTATTACAATGAATGCAACATTTCGGTGTAGGTACTAACACCGTTATCAAGCAAGTACCTACACCAAAACGTCACACTCATTGCAATAAAGAAGTTGACCATCCACAGAACTTGGGTTTCCTTCATCTTTACAACTTCTGAAATGTCTCTCAAAGAAGAAACTGAGAGCTGTCACCATCAGGATAGTGTGATGGATATATCAGCAGCGTCACCACTGCTTGTATCTACTTATTCAGCTACGTCTCACAAGCTGCTGTGGCAGCACATTAGAGGCTTCCCTTCCACCATTATCTATTTATGACTATCAGTCAGATGTTTCATATCAACATTGCAAGATGGGTCAGGGAGATCATCTTTGGCACACATCCCATTCCAGGAGGATATGTGAACTCATTAAATTCATCCATGAGACTGATGTGAATATAGTATGTATCTCTCAACCTGGCATGCATTTGGGCTTCCTTGACAAGGCGTTTTAATGTTTTTGCTTCTCATGTCTCCTGAAAGCTCTTGAGTATCACAACCAGTGTATTCATGCAGTGTCATCAACACAATACAGTGTTTTGACATTGGGACAGTCCCCCAACATTGATCCACCTTTTCTAGTTACCAGTGCCTGTGTCACAGAGAATTGTGCATAACAGACAAGGATGAATAGAATATCAATACCTGACTTCCTTACTCTGATCATAGTTCAGGCTCCTGGTGTATTCACAGTCTCCTCCTGGAAAGATTTGAAAACTGGTACTTCTGTACTTCTTCTCAGACCACCATCCGAGGTGAGTTGGTCTGCAGAGCCTTCACATACAACTGTTACTTTCCTAGCTTAGAGTTTCAAATTTCAGAGGTTTAAATTGTAGATGAAGTTGAAGGTCACATTAAACTCATTTAGCATTGGATAGGAAACTTACATTATTTCATGCTTGTTTCAGTGGCTACAGCTTCAGTCGAGTCCCAGTTGATGGACTTCAGCTCATGTTGCAGATAGAAATAAGATGTCATCGCTTGCTTAATCATGGTAAATGGTTGGCTCAGCAAGTTGTGGGGTAAGTAATTTACAAGCCTGCAGCTGCTGAAAATATTCCACTGTACTGTCTCCAGTTCACTAAAACATTTTGTGGCAACTCTGTCCTGTTCCACTAAATGCCTTTGGGGACCAGTCTACAAGTATTCTTTATTAGCACTCCATTCTAAGCTCGAAAATTGACATACAATCCATATTTCTTCAGTATATTGCACGTTTGTTAGCTCACTTGACTGAAAGTAGAGTTGGCCTGTGGTCATGGCATCATTTCCAGTGTTGTCTCTGGAATCATCTCTTCAGAAATGCTGGACCAGTAAAGTTGAAACATTCCTCCATATTTCTGGCAGTGGCAATATCTCATTCTGTTCATGTTCCAGTCCAAGTTCCAAAGTATCAGATTTAACTGGGACATCTTTTAACCAATAGTAGTGACATTCTTTTAACATGTGTTAAGGGGCCTTATGTACACTGCAACATTATGAATTTGGACCACATTTATACCACACCTAAAGAGAGTTTGAAAACAAAAATGTTGTCAAAAAACATATGTCCAAGACAAAACTTTTTCCTAAAATATAATTGGTTATGTCTTTAAACTTGTATTTGACTTCAAACTGTACTTTCATAGGCGCCTAGCATCTCTATTCCAGTCACAGCAGAACAATGGTCAAATGAGAACTGTGATGCTTTACATTGTGTCCTCCTCCCTGTTTCCTTTGTGGTATTCCTTAGCTACTTGACCTGTGAGGTTCATGGAGGTGATCTCATCTAATTATAGACATAAAAATGAAGTTTCATTTAATTTAATTACAAACAAAAAGATAAGGGTAAACCTGTCTGTTTCAGTTTGAAAACCAACATTCATCTCCCCCTCTCCTACCGATGAAAAACTTTATTTTCTCCAAGTTTCAGTTGTTGTGTACTTGTAGGTTATAATTGTTTCGCTCAAAATTCCTGTAATCACATGGTCAGAGGGATGGTGTAAACCCATCTAGTGTACCATGTAGCTGTAGGTAGCAAAGGTTCTGTTAATCCCCATGACCCCATGTATGATGGTGACATATATATACTAGTATAGCTCATTTCTTTAGGCTGCTGACTTTATAACGTATTCTTTTAAATGTTCTCAACCAGTTAAATCTGTGATAATATAGTTACTGTTCTGTCAAATAATGACAGGTTTGTATTCAGTCTAGATATATTTGTTATTAAAGGAAAACTTTTTGTCACAATCTTCTTCAGAATGAATTTACTGAACTGCACAACTTTAAAATCTGGACGTCTTCAATTCACAACACCAAGTATTCATGTGAGAAGTAAGTAAAGTTGTTACCACTTGACTTGGTCATCTTGGAAACTTTCTTTGTTTATGAGGCATGAAACAATATTCTAAATTTAATTCAGATCATCCTTCATAGTCTTATAACTTCATTTTATCATGGAAAACAACCTGTACCCATTCAAAACCAAAATTATCTTGGTATTAACTTTCAGAAGTTTACAATCTCCATCCGTAGTTTCACTCTTTACAGAATGTTTCTTACTTGTGAGCTAGAAATGAGTAACTTGTCAAAGATTCTGTTGAATCTCCTGGTTGAAAGACAACACTGGGAAAGCTGTATGATAAACCACTTCAGTCTACCAGTACAGTCACATAGTCATCTCAGGGAGCTCTCAGCTTCTCACCTACTGACCAGCAAGGAAGACACCAATCAGATAAGCAGTGGCCAGAGGTATCTCAAGGAAACCAACTGTCCAGTTGACCATGCACCAATCAGATAAGCATAGTAAGGTCTAATGACCACAGATCCCCACATCTTCAGAATGGTACCTACATGGACCTAACGAGAGCAAAACAAATATCCATTAACAAACCATCATGGTCATCCCACAACCTCAGTCCATATATCATATACCCCAAGACAAGACCCCAATGGAGTTGACATAACTGGTTTGTGTAGGGAATCTGGCATGCCACATTACAAGTACTGGATTTGTAGCACTCTTCAAAATATGAAACACATAGGTGTTTGCCAGTTGTGTAAGTGTCTGTGGTGTATGTTGAGGTTGATGTACAGATTGAGTTCATCCCACAGATTCCCTTCTGGGATCAGATCATGGCAGGACACTGACAATTAAATATTGAAGGACTATGACACAAACTGTGTGTTGCAACATGCTACATGCTAAGACAAGTCCGTCTTCAGGTTGATAAGTGGAAGAAGGCGACGTTGAAGAATTTGGTTGATGTATCGATTTGCTCTCAGATTCCCCTGAGCAACCAGCAATTCAGACAAATACTTCTTTTCTTGGTTTATTTAAATCTTTGGTACAATAACCTTTTTCTCACAGGTTCAGAAACACAAGACAACCTGCTACACCGTCCGGCACAGGTCCACATCTACTAACACAAATACTAGATTTAACTGCAGCTCCCACTGATAGCAGACCATACAATCTCAAGAGATTGGGCATTTCAGAAACTAGACAAGACTTCTTTGTGGTTTCAGAATTCATGGTATGGTTCTGTTATTGATAGGAATTTGATGTCATCTCTCTGAGGATAAGTTGATGTCAGCAGTGCCTGTTGTCGTTCTGCCATTATGTAATAGAGTTGATCAAACCATAGTTATCAGTGTTATCAATTCTAAAACTAATCTGCATAGAGTTGGATGCTGGATATTTTGGAAGAAAATGGCATTTTCTTACTGGTCACCCAAAAAAACATTTGACAAAAGTGTTACTCATACCTAAGCCAACCCCCTTCCTCAGGCTGCTTTTCTGGGTCTTCTAAATTCGGCTTATCTATGGTAATATACGGTATGTCTTCTGAGATGCCTGCATGCAGGTCTCATTATCCTTCCATGCACCTTGCACCAATGGTAGAATCTTGTGAGGGTAAGAATGATACAGTTTACAGAAACGCGTAATTTACGTTCTAACGAGCACTTCAGAGATAGAGTGTTGGTCACATTCTGAAACATGTCTTTTCATGAACAAAGCACTCCTACTAACTGCATACTGTAAACGTACTTATTTTCGCGTGGTGCAATTTTCGCGGAATTGACAGTTTAGACTACATCGCGCGGACAATTATTCGCGCAATCAGTAATTGCCGGAACTGCCAGCTGTCTCTTTGGCCGTCACTAATAGCAGTGAAAACAAATAGAGTGGCTGAACCTGTCAGGCGGCATTTATTACTTATTAACAGGAAATCCCTATCTGTGCGATATACTAGTACACAGTAACCCGTTTACTCCCGGAAGAGATGAAAAACACATAAGTATTATGTTCCGAATTCTGACGATCTGACTAATTAACTTATACTGTATATGAAGCTCTTTGTGATTTCAAACAAGCCGGGTTGTTGTGAATGAGATGATTGAGTGTTAGTGACTATTCGCTTCATGGGGATACGTTTGTATCTAAATGAATAAATAAAATACTGCTGTATTATTTCTTTCCCGAGTCGTTTCGTGGTAATCTGTTTTGTATCAAACCATCTGTCATGTGACCAATTTCCATGGCGGCCACAACACAAATTGCTGTTTTCACTAATTCGGTGATGGGATTTGGCTCATTATTTAATTATGTTTTGGGAAATCCATTACAGCGACAGTTAAGTTTGATTCTTTATGCTACTAGGGGTGAGCGTGGCTAGACTGAAGGAATGACAGGTTTATTCGCGGTGTATAAATTTTCGCGCTAAAATGTTTTGCGCGAAAAGCTCGAAAATAAAACCTGCGCGAAATATACTACGTTTACAGTATATATTGAAATTTTTCCTTATCCTGACTCATGCTTATTGCTTGTCTTCTTCTTCTTTGCGAACATAGTGGAACACCTGTATTTCCCTATTGAAGTTCCCTTCAATAAAAAATCACTAATTATTACTCACCACGAGTTACCTCCCTTCCACAAGCGCGGGAACGAGGGCGCCACCTCCACCCATGTGCCTCACACTCTCTCCTTCTTCGCCCAGTGAGCCAGACGTGAGAGCACCTGTGTCTCCCTGCACACTATATCCTTTATTTATATTTAGTTTGTTACCTCTTATATTCATCTATAGAGGTGTAACTAGTATCCTTATTCAACATGCATTGATAATTATTCGTGTCTCTGCTGCTTGATTCACAGTTCGCCGTGTTTGCTCAGCAGTTTGCGTTAATAAAAATCTGCACTGTTTGTAAATTACGTTACTCTGCTACCGATCCGCATTTAAGATGCCCTAGTTGCATATCTCCATGCTCTATTGTTTCACGCTGTAAATTATGTATTAATTTGTCTAATTCTGCCTTTGATAAATATTTATATTCCGTCTTGTGAGGGATGGCAGATAGATCTCGGAAACAATCTTCAGTCATGGCTAATAGATCGGAGTCAGATATATCCTGAGTTACCTTCGGGGGATAAGCGTGGGACGCAGTCCGCTATATCCTAGAAGCGACCTGCATCCCAGGACGTTCCTTCATCACAATCTAAGACTAGAAGAGCTTCCACGTCGTCTCAACGTACGCTCCGAACCCCCAGGTCTACAGCTTCGTCAAAAGGGAAATCCACGAAGGCTGCTAAAAAACTTTGCTTCTGATATTCAGAATTATGTTTATATGATGATGACATTCCGATTATCATTCCAGATGTACATCATAAGAAGTGACCGGTATCGGCTACCGTCACTTCAGCGCAGATCAACATGCAACCAGAGATGCCTACGCTGACGCCAGAGATTATAACTGAGGGTCCCGTCACTATCACAGAGAGGACACCCTCAACGCCAGCGCAGACCATCCCAAACGACCTGGTCAACCAAATCATGAGACTGATGGAGGACCGTTACGGTTTACAGAGGCCCCAGAGCCACGGGCCCCAGAGCCCAACCCATAATAAGTCATACAGGGCCCCAGAGCCCGCCTTGGCTTCGCGTAGGGCCCCAGAACCCACAAACGCGCCTCCGTGAAGGGCAATCCAGCCCGTAGCGAACACTTCGCTAAGGAAGTCCCAGGCCGCCTCCGCGACGGAGCTAGAGCCTCACCAGTTGCGAGGGACATTGCGGAGGAGGAACGCTTCGCCGAGCCCACACCCTGTAGAACACAGAGGTCGTTCTCGAAGCAAGCGCTCATATATTGATCGGACACTGACTCGATACTTCGCGACTTCGCGAAGGCTAAGTGGCTCCAAGTCTACTTCACCCAGAAGATCTAGAAGGGATACTTCGAGAGCTTCGCGAAGTCCCCGGCGTTAGCCGAGGAAGTCTCCTCCAAGGTCTCCATATACTAGCCACTTGTCATAAATAGTCACTCGTCAGTCCGTTCAAGACATCGCATGAGTTGTCTATCAACTGTATGCCATATGCCGTCTACAAGCCTACGCGAAGACAATTGCACAGGCTATTTACAACACAGAACGTCGCTGTATTATTTTATCAACAGATGAAGAGCCTAATTAAGGATCTTCAAGCCGACTACCTACATCAAGGGCATCAACGACGTTTAAGTAGATCTTCACAGGAATCAACTTTTCCGTATAGATTGCTCACATTATGCAATCCCGGACTACGATACGATTATCTACATGCGTGACCATTACGCAGATCTGCAGACAATTCAATAAGGAAATTGAACAGCAGCCTTGTTACAGCGAGTATAACTCATAATCGTCAACGATTTCTGAGAAGAAATATGTACAACAAGTTCAGCTTTAATTCTACAATTATGACGATACATTCATGTATACAGTCTACAAGCTGACAACTTGCAAGTTTTATTGAACCTTTATATAAGGAAGTCGGAATTATCTTCAAGACTGAAGTTACTTTCACGACAGCCAGGAAAATAACCTACCCAGCATTAATATTACAGAGCGAGGTATTTAGCCCCGGAGGTTTTGGCGATTTACCATTAACCCTCGAAACACGTGGTCACTTTCGGGTAACTTCGGGGAAGCTACAGTGAAGACCGACGATTGTTCTAATATCAACGACGGCACTATATTATACAAGGTTCCTTTTCCTGCTACACCGGTGACATCACAGCGCGGGTACTCTACAGAATCAAAATGCCTTGTTCTGATTGGACCGCGATGGACAACGCCCTACGCAGAGGTCGATCATAGTTCACAGTTCAAGACTTAGGTTGCAAGTGACAACAATATATCAGTGAACGAGCAAGCCTCCTTACAGTCCAGCTAATCTGAACCTTCATGATTGGGCTGCCTTCTTGAGGTTAGAGACCTCCCCTGTCAAGTAAGGATGAGTGCACGACAGTCAGGCGATTTTTTACATAAAGTTCAACGATGGCAGTCACACCTGGTTGTGCAC